GGGTGGTGGGTGGCGGGTGGGGCAGAGGAACGGCCACTGCCCCAAGCTCGCCCTGGGGGACAGAAAGCCTTGTCCCAGCTCTCTCCCTTCACGGAGACCCCACCACCCCTGAGCCCCTCACCTGAAGATGAAGGGACCATCTTTCCAGCTGGCGCCACCGAGGGCCTCTGCAAGGGAAGCCACAGGTGGGTCTTGGCGCAAGGGCCCCTGAGTGTAAAGGGGGCTGGGGCCCCACATACGGGGCATGGGAATTCAGGGCCCCTGGAGTCTAGGAAGGAAGGCTGGCAACACCCTCAGCCCCTGGAGGAACCCTGAGCCACTGTATCCAAGGGACAGGGCCCCCAAGGTCCCGCCAGGACTGTCTGCTCCTGACCTGACCCTGGCTCTGTCACTCTTGGTCCCGTGCACCTGGGATGGACAGGTAGGGCCCTAGGTGTGGTCAGGGCGGTCCAAGGCCACCCTTGCCTGACACTTGTCCCCATCTGACCATTTGTCCTTCCTAGGCCCTACAGTCCCCTCCTGCCACAGGGGCTGGTCCTATCCGGCCCTGTGGAGGGCTGGCTTGTACCCTGGTGCCAGCCCCACTCACCATCTGGTGGGCGGTGACAGGCAGGTGGCAGTCCGCCTGCCCAGCAGGGCCAGAGCTGGCCTCCCTTGATGCACTGCAGCGGCCATCGTGGGTTCTGGCTCCTCTGGGCTCCAGGGCCTGGGGCCTGGGAGGGAGGGTTCCCTGAGGTACAGCACAGGGTCCCACGGTTGCCTCCTCCAGTGCCCCCAGTTTGAGTGCCCCTGGTCTCAGTTGCTTCATGGATCAGGGTGTCCCCTCCCTGGGCAGCTCAGCTCGGCCCTGACCCCTCATCCTGGAGCCGCCTCGGGTCATGGTGGGTCTCAGTCTCCACCATGTCCCCGGCTTCTGGAGGGAAAGATAGGATCCCCTTTCCTAGAACAGGGAGCTCTGGCCAGTTTCAGTCTGTGAATAGCTGGTGGTTGTCCCATCCCCACAACCCGGCTGCGCCTGGTTCACAGGGCCTGGCCCTGAAGGAGCAGGGGTGGGGTGGGGTGGGGTGGGGTGGGATGGGTGGGGGGACAGGCCCCTTCCTACCATGGTACAGCCCTGCAGACAGCTTCACCGTGGACTGCCCGTCCCTGTGGGCATAAAGTGACAACCTTGTCCTGGCCGAGGATGGAGAGCAAATGGGAGGTCCCCTACCCCAAACCTTAAGGTGGACCATGGCAGGATGGCCTCACGGGGACAGGACAGTCACCCCCTTTACCATCAGAGGTGAGGGTTCCAGGGAAGGAGGGACATGGGAAAGGCGGCTCAGAACTGCTCTTCTTAGAGAGGGGCAGTCCTGTGGAGCCACCTACCCACCTGCTCGGGCTGGACACCTGAGGGCCGGTCATCAGGGACAGCAGAGACCACCACCTGGCAGGGGATGGGACAGTTGGGTGGGGCCCCCACAGGGCCTGCACCCCCAGCCTGCAATGCCCTTCACATCTCGAGTCCGGGTGAGGGCCACCCGTGCCGGGCCCAAGACCGCTAGGCTACAGGAAGTGCATGGCAAAGAGACTCCAGTGGTGGTCATCTGGCACAACTTCTACACGCTGCTCCTTGTAACAGCTGTGAGCCATGATAAGTAGACTAAATGGACACGCGAACACAGCCCTCTCCACGGGCCCCCACCCGGGGCTCACAGCAGCCAAGTCATGTTGTATGGTGGCTCCTTGGGCACCAGCACTGTTGCAAGAGACCACGGGTGTGTGGACCGCCTGCAGGCCCCAGTGCCAAGCCCAGGTGGCCCTTTGTGACACTGGAGCTGGTGCTGCCCCTGGATGGTTGCGCTGCCTTTGGAGGCAAGCTGCTCACCTGGCCTGTGATTTCGGCAGTGCTGCCTGGCCCTGACAGGGCTGACCCAGCCCAAAATGGCCCGTGTCCCTCCTCAGGCCCTTGCAGTCCGCAGTGGAGACAGACACGTGAGATGTGGCCCAGGCAGGGAGGGGACAGCACCTCCACCGGGTCCCTGACAGGGTCCCTTCTCTGGGGATGTCATCCCAGCCCTGCCCAGCTTCCAAAGGACCTTGGCGGGACCCACAAGTCCCCATGCCACAACAGGTACCAGCATAGAAGCGCTGTACCCGCCCAGCACAGCTGAGGGCACGCTGGCCCCAGACAACACACGCCTTACCTTGGCCTTGCCCAGGAAGTCCATGGGCTCTAGGTGCTCCAGGTACCGCCTGTGGGGCCGGAAGACCTCGCCCGGGGGAACCTGCCGTGGCTGCAGGGGGGCCCGCTTCTGGGGGTGGAGCCATTGCAGAGCTGGTGGTCACTGGGCATAGCTGCAGAGTCCAGGGCCTGGGAACGGGGGACCCTGCTGGGGCCCCCCACTTCCCACAGTCTCCTGGGCCACCTCCCCCACAGGCTTCTTCAGTTATCTAACTGGCCTTGAGAGTGAGCTACAATTACCAGCCCAAAACTGCAGGCCACAGGCCAGCCTGCTCTTGGTAGCCCTCACCTGCCCTCACCTGTACGTGGTACAGGGCCACGGCCAGGCCCTCCTGCGCCCTCTCCGGCCACTTGGACACGGCCTCAGCCAGTGTGTCGGCGGCCTCAGCCCAGAGTCCCAGCCGGCACTGTGCAGACGCCATATTATACAGTACCTGGGAGTGACAGCCAGGGTGACAGAGGGGTCAGATTTGAAGTCTGACTCCTACCTGGGCCCTCATCTGGACTCTCACCTGTCCCATACCTGTAAACTCATTGGTACCTCACTGGGGTCTTCACTATCCCATACCTGTGCCACACCTGGCCCCTCACTGCCCTACACCTGGAACCTCACCTGAGCCCTCAGCAGCCCCACACTTGGACAGTCACCTGTCCCATGCTTGGGCTCCCCAGCCACAGCAGCTGGAGCTCTCCTGGTGTCCAGCTGACATGAGGGCTGTGGGCAGAGACCACGCCCCGTGCCTGCCTGCCTGCCTGTCGTGGGCAGCCGCACGACCAAGGGCCACACTGCTCAGCACTCTGTTCTCCTCTCAAAACACCTCCTGGCCTAACATCTCCACCCTGCACAAGGCTGCGCCCCTGCCATGCTCCTGCGAGTCTGAGGCTCATCTGGGGAGGTTTCCAGAGGCACCAGGCCCCAAAGTTTACAACCAGGCTGGTTTTGCTTCACCAAGAGACACTCGCCAACCTCTTCTCAGGCCTCTGTCCCTGCAGCTGGCTGGCTACGTGGCCCCGAGTTCCTGCAGCCAGCACCGCGTGCCTGTCCTCTGCCCCTCAGTGCCCTGGGTGGATGGACAGTGTGGGCCTCGGCCCTGGCTTCCGCACCAGCACCAGCGCCGGAGGCTTTTGCCGTGACTCCTGTGCTGGGCTTGTGTTTTCAGTGTCCTCAAGGCAGGGGGCACCAGGGTCCACCCCCTCCACTCTGCCCCAGCCTCCTCAGGCAAAGCTTGACCAGGGCATCTAGAGTCTCTGGGAGCCTTTCACTAGGCCATAACAGTAACCCCATCCACTGGGGACACCCGGGGCCCTGGGGAGCCGGCACCATATGAACCCCACAGCCTTACCTCCCAGGCTTGCAGCCTGAAGTGCAGGCCCAGCTGTGTGTAGTCGATGACGCTATTGCCCCGCAGCTGCTCCAGGGCCAGCTGGAAGTCAGCCAGGGCCTCCTGGAACCTGCGGGAAGCAGGGCTCCTCAGTGGGGCAGAGCCTGTGGGGAGTGCCCGGGGCACCTGGCCTCCCCTGCTCTGGCGAGACCCACAGGAGGCCAGTGGTGGTCATCAGGTCTAGCACCAGTGGGCACCCAGTCCAGATGGATAGGCCAAGGGTCGGCACACCATGTGCCAGTGGAGGGGCCAGGGTTGGGGCCTATGAGTCTGCTCCCAGCTCTGCCAGGGACACCCACTGCCCTACTCCTCTGCCTGACCCAAGACCTCTGCCCACTGCCTCCCAAAACCAAACCTCCAACACTTGCTGGGGTGCCCACCTCCCTAGGCAGACTTCCTGGCTGACTAGAAACTACAGCCTGACCACTGGCTTTCCTGCTTCTGCTCCTAGGGAGGGACAAGGTACAGCAGGGACAGTGACCAGGATGTGTCCCAGGACAAACCCTCGGTTTCCTCATTTGTGTGGACACAGAAAGGTAAGGAGAGAGCCAGGGATGCCAAGAAGGAGCCTTGTGAATCTTAGCAGAGATGAGGGCCACATGGGCCATGACCCTGGCATGGCTACAGCAGCCTCACGCAGGCTAGAACCACTGGAGTGGAGTGGGAGCTTGCAGACACGAAGGGCCCCTGTGCTCACCGCTCCAGCTGGAAGTGGGCCACACCCCGCTGGAGGAAGCCAACAGCCATGCAGGTGTCCTTGGTCACCGCTTGATCAAATGCCTGGGGACAAAAACGCCCATGGAGCACCGCAAGTTCTGTAACAGTCACCCTGTCCTGCAGACACTGGGATTCCGTCTCCCAGGGTGAGGACCACTTGCGTTCTGTACTGGCCAGCACCTTCAGGCAGGAGCCTAGGCAGGCGTCATACAGCTCCTCTGCTGCCACAGCCTGTAGCAGCCCAGCTGCCCATGGTAGCCAGCCATAGGCTCAGGACCCGTCCTAGTGGGGTTGGAAGCCAGCTGGTCCACCATGAGGACAAAGAGGCCGAAGGAAATGTCCTGTGTGTCAGTAGCATCTGCCACGGGGGTGAAGCTCTGCGCCTTTGTCTTTTCAGAATCCCTTTTTGGGAGCTCTCACAAAATGGCACAGAAGGCATGTGAGGGTCAGAGCAGCCCACAAGTCAGGATGGGACGCCTGTCCACACAGAACCACTGCTCTTCCCACACCAGGCCCAGAAACAAGGACAGTGGCCATCAGTAAAACTAGGCGTGAGGAGGGGCTTGTGCTCCCACCCCACATACTGGGCAGGGGTGTGTGGCTGACTTGGGTTTCACCTGGGCTTTTGCAGCAGGTGCAAGTGGGCCTGAAAGTGGGCGTGGGTACCATTTACTGCCCCCACACACCCAGCAGCTGAGTGCAACATTGCGCAAGGTTCTTACCAGCAGGCAGCAGTTCAGCTAGGCCCCTCCTCCCTCCTGCCCCTTGACAGCCAGTTTTACCAACTAGCTGCGCCTCTGTGGTTTAGAAGCCCACTGTCCCCACCCTGCCTAGACTGTCCTCACGACTCATGTTTCACCTTTAGACAGCAGCTCCTCTTATCTTGTGGCGGAAGACAACCTGGGCCAGCCCCTCTCCTCACACCATGGTTAATGAGAAGGTGAGGACTGGGTCAGTCTGCCTGACTCACCCCAGTGGCTCCCTTCCTGGATGGGCTCAAGGCGGAAACTGTGCCTGAGACAACTGGTGCAGACGTAGGCAGCAGTAGGGGGACAACTCTGCCTGCCCAGCCGCCCTGTGGGGTGTTCTGCGGGCACTGGGTCCTCGTCTGTGTGGTGCCCAGACAGCTGCCGTAGTAGGAGCCGGGCTGTCCAGGGGGTAGGCAGGCTGCTACAGGCTTCCCATCACATCCCCAAGAACAGGCCACTCTGATAACCAGGAAGTGTTTGGAAAGGCAGGTGTTGAAGCTGTGCACCTGGAGCTCTGAGGTATTTCAGAAGCAGGTGGGGACACAGCGAGAGCTGAGAGCTGCCAGCCGAAGTCAGACCCTGTCTGCTGCCATCTCCAGAGGCCCGCAGCCTCACACTTTCCCGCCAAGGCTGGGGCAGGCAGCCTTGCCTTGCGCGCCTGGGCCTGTGCGGGCCCAGGCCTCCTGGGGATGCTGCCTCGGGTGCCCACTGTGGAGACACTGAGGGATGCTGGGCCCCACCCAGCCACTCAGCTCCCACCTGCCTTGGCTTCCCAGCGGAGGTTCAGGGTGAGAGCCGGGCAGGTGGGTGACCGGTGTTCGCGGCCCCTCTCCTGGGTGCCCTGGGTGGAGGGCGCCCCCTGGCCTCCCTGGACCCAAGGGGTCCACTCCACCCCAGCGCTCACCTGCAGCGCGGCCTCGGGGTCCCCGGCCAGCAGGTGCACGCAGCCCACGTTGAAGCTCATCCTGGAGGGCAGCTCCACGACGCCCGAGAAGAGGCGCAGCGCAGAGCCCCAGTCCCCGCGCGCCACGGCCTCTGCGCCCCGGTGCCAGTCGCGCACCTGCTCCCCGAGCGAGCGCATGGTGGCGAGGACACCTGCACGTGCGGGGCGGAGGGCGCTGGCACCGAGGCCAGCGCGGGCTTTCGCGTGTGGACCGCGGCGCGGGCTGGCGAGGCGCCGGGAGGCTGACGGAGACTGCAGCGTGGGAGCCCGGCTTTGCGGCGGGTGGAGCCCCTGGCCGCTGAGGACACGCCCGGGCCACGCCCCGAGACACCGCCCCCGGCGAGGGTCGGCCCCCCCCCCGCCCGGCCCGCCTCCCTTGGCCACGCCCCGCGCGTCCCCGGGCCCGCCCACGCCACTAGGCCCAGCCTTCCCGAACTTCCGCCCGCGCGCCCTCCCGCCCCGCCCGCGTGGGCCGAGGTCCCGGGTCGGGCGTGTACGGTGCGCGGCGGCCTGCAGGCGCAAGTGCACGGCCCGGCAGGTGGGCGCCGGAGCGCGCGGGCCCGCGCAGTGCGCCTCCCAGTGCCAACGGGGCGTCCTCGGGAAGACCCAATCTTTCACTTTGATTCGATCGGTGGTTTAACGTTAATCTCATCCCCAAACACCCCACCGCGACACGTCCCTCATGGTAAACAGCGATGACCAGCAACACCCGTCAGGCCGCTGGTCCTGGCACCGCCTGGCCATCGAAGCCCACGGGAGCTGCTGCACCAGCTCTAAAATTAGGGCTGTACCCAGCCCAGACTGGGGCAAAGCTTCTTCCGTTTCCCTTTCTCTGCAGGGGAGACTGGAGGGGCCTGCGAGATTGGAGGTGAGCAGGGTGAGGGGCGGGGAGCTGGAGCCCTGCGCAGGTGGCAGGCAGGAGGCCAGTCCCGGGCCCACGGGGAAGCCAAGCCCTGCGCCCCTAGGAGGGAGGGCCCGCACCTGTCCACATGGGTGGTGCAGGGGCAACTGTGATGGCCCTTGGTGGCTCTTGGTTGAGGGGCCTGTGTGCCCCCTTAGGAGGCAGCAGACGCACCAGCCCTGGCTCTGCACAGTCTGCCCAGAGGGTCTTTGTCCCCCCTCCACTGAGCCCAGCGCCACATGAGCTGCAAGGAGAGCTGAGGTGCAGATGCACAGAAGGCCAGGCTGGGTGGGAGCTGCAGTGGAGTGCAGAGACCAAAGGGGTCGGCCTTGGTAGGAGCACCCATGGGTGCCCCAGACGCCTGCAGGGGCCAGAGGGGTCGGTGTGAGTGACAGCGGCTCTGTGGCTCCTTCGTCCTGGGCCTGCATGACATCCGTGGGGCGACCTCCATACGGCATAGCCCTGAGTGCTGCGGGTTTGGGGCACAGATTCAGCTGAGGTGTCCTTCCTGTGCCCTCTCACTGGTCTCATCTGTGCAGCCCCTGCTCAAGTAGCTCCCTGTGCTCCAGGCCTAGGCTAGGGGCCCTGGTAGCGGGTACAGGGCACATGGGGCCTTCTGGATGAGCACCCAGGTGCTGAGGGATCTGGCACTGGGCAGCCTGTGGGATCTCACACTGTCCTGCAGGCCAGGTGGTCTGGGCTCTGGGATAACTGAGGCCAGGTGGGAGCCAGCAACAGAGGGGACAGGGCATCACTGCCGTGGTCCTCACAGGACTTGAGCGGGCCCCTCTGGGGTCTCCTCTATGGCACGAGACACCACGTCCACCTCAGCTGACAGCACCCTGGCCTGCTGCCATCTGCCCCTCGGGGCATGGAGACCCAAGGGCCTGGGCTGGCAGAAAGAGTAGACCCCGTCCCAAGGGTGCCGGAGCCTAGACCTTGGCTGTCCACGGATAAGGTAGAAAAGACACGTGTGGGTGAGGCCTGGAGAAACAGGGCCCCAGTTCCAGCCCTGAGTCTGTACCCACCACTGGTGAAAATGTGTCTACAGTGTCACAGTGGCACTGTTCACACCACCTGAGGTGGCAGGAGCAGCCCAGGGGTCCCCCTGCTGCCTCCCAGCTCCCTACAGGGCTTGAGAAAGGCCCTCTTCTCCTTCCCAGGGTGCAGTGGCAATCAGACCTGCTGCCCCCCTTCTCTTGTGCAGCGTGTGTGTGTGTGTGTGTGTGTGTGCGTGTGTGCGCACATGCACGCGCGTATACATGTGTGTGTGCACGCAGTGGTCACTGTGGCCCCTGAGGCTCCAGGGGAATGACAGACTGGCCTGGGTGGGAGGCACCGCTGGGTTGGCCAGCAGAGGGCCTCAGAGACTGCTCCTGGCTGGGCCTGTGCCCTTCCCGGCTGGTACCCTACGGGAACCAGGGGAGGCCTGCAGCCTTGGCTCAGACTTCTCCAGAAGCTGTGCCCCCTGACCTAGTGGCACTGCCATGGGTCTGGGAAGGAGGGGCTTGTCCTCCTGTGGGTGAGTGTCCTCCTGAGGGGCAGCAATGCAGCAGGACAGCTGAGCCAGGCTTTGGGCTCAGGGAGTGCGGGGGACACCCAGAAGATCCAGCAGTGAGTGCGTGGGCGGGTACCTGCCCCCTACTCCTCCACTTAGCCACTCCTTCCCTCATTCACTGGTGGCCGCCTTCATCCTGGCTGAGGATCTGGGCACCCAGCACATCCAGCATGCTCTTAGCCCCAGATAGCTCAGTCCTGGACACCCTGCTTCCAGGTGGAGCTTTATAGGTATTCTTGTAACAGCTGTTTTATTAATTTATTTGAGAGGGGATCTAACTGTGTTGCCCAGGCTGGTCTTGAACTCCTGGGCTCAAGGAATCCTCCCGTTTCAGCCTCCCCAGTGCTAGGACAACAGGGGCCACCACTGCACCTGGCTTTGCTTGTCCTTAAGAACAAGGGAACGTCAGCCTGGCATCCAGGGTGTTGGTGGGCATCATCGGGCCCTGTGAAGGGTCAGGGCTCCAGTGGGTCGCTCGAGCCAGGCGGGCCATGTCCCCGATGCTGTCCACCCAGCCAGCCGAGGAGAGGCCTGGTCTGTGAGCCCTCGGCTGAATTAACCTTTGTAAAACAACCAGTGTGTTCTCAGGAAGGGAGCCGGGGGCCAGCAGGAAAGAGACACAGGGGCTTTTGCTGCTCTAAGGAGTGGAGCTGTGTCTAAAGCAATTTCTTTTCTGCCAGGAGTCTTTCCTGTCTGGGGTCACAAGACAGCTGTTCGCTGTCTTCACTGTCAGGAGCTTGGTCCGTGGATGAGGGGAGGGCCCCTGCGGGCGTGCCCTGCCTGTGCAGCTCTCTGTGGGCCCTTGGTGGCCGGGGCAGCCCAGGGCAGAGTGGGTTGGACTAGAGTCCAGGACTGGACCACCCCTCCTTGGTGCGAGGGCCCAGGGGTCCAGGGACTGGGTGGAGGGGATCAGGTGGGGTTGGGGCTCTGGCTCCCACTCTCACCACCTGCTGCCGATGTTCCCCGGATTGCTGGCAGAGCTGGGTGCCGGCCCGCTGTGGGCACCAAGGATGTGGCTGGCGGCAGCTCTGGAGGTGTGGATGTGCTGGCCCTCGTGGCAGCAGGAGAGCATGCCTTGCCCCACTCCTAGCTGGGCCACAGAGCCGCAAGTGCCAACCCCAGGACCACAGGCCAAGCCAGGGCGCATGGCCATCAGAGACTCAGCTCCTGAGAGCTCTCTTTGCAGTAAAGCGTCAGAACTTGTGAACCTGTCCACCCACATATTTACTGCGTGCACACGTTGCCTTTGTAGATAGAAAAGCACAAAGCAAATCGCGATATTGGCAGAGGGGAGACACTGGCAAGGCCAGGTGGGTACCGGCTCAGCCTGCTCCTCCCCCACAGGACAGGCACAGAGGGGAGGGGTCCAGGGTGCCCTGGGGCATTTGGGCCCTGCCCTACAGCGCCAGCATGGGAACCACTGCCCCTTTCTGAGGAGAAGCTTGCCCATGCCCGGCCCCTGTGGGCTGAATTGTGTCCCCCAGCTCGTGTGTCAAGGTCCTGACCCTTGATGTGACTGCATGGGGAGGGCCCTTTTTTCCCAGCCCTCATTTGCCCTAATGACCTCTTGAAAAGCCGTCTCAAAAATAAATAAATAAGTAAACAAATATCACCTCCTGAGCATGATAGCACACATCTATAATCCCAGCACTCTGGGAGGCTGAGGCAAGAGAATTGCAAATTTGATCTAAGTCTGGGCGATTTTGCAACTTGGCGAGACCCTGTCTCAAAATAAAAAATATAAGAGGGCTGGGGATGCAGCTCAGAGTGCCCGTGTTCAGTCCCCAGGACCAGGAATGAGACGGCATGCTAACGCCAGTGTCTGGGCCAGCTCTATGCTGCTTTCTTTTATCTGTTTTCTCTGCATTGCCCTGGGTGTGGGTCTTCTGATCCTCCCCCACACTCCCCGGCCCCTGTGCCCTGAACATCGTGAGCTGTGCTGAGAGGCTGGTCTCTGCTCGTCCTCTGCAGGAGCTGCTTCAGGTTTGGTCCCAGCTAGTGGCCCAAGCTGGGGTATCCAGCCTGGTGCAGCAGGTTGTTCGGCTCGGGCTGTGCCACCAGCACCCTGTCCTGCCGGGACCACGCCACAGCATCGTCCTGAGGGGCTTGGCGTTAGGCCTGGCAGGGTGGCTGTCAGCATGGCCTGAGGCATGGCCGTCCTGCCCTGCCAGCATCACAGTATAGACAGATCCTTTTTCTAGCCGGGTGGCAGCCTATCATCCCTGGGCGAGCTGCTCTAGGCTGGAGGCTTGGCTCTAAGCCCACCTGCAGGGGCCGCCCAGGTGCAGTGCATCCTTGGGACTCCCACTAGGAGCCTGTCTGCACCGCCCCCAGCCCTGCCTGCACCGTCATGAGCCACTTCTTGTCGGATCCTGGGCAGCATGTCCACATTGCGTTGTCTGAGTGGGGGCCAGCTGGTTGCTCCCCTGCAGCAGAGCAGGACGGTGACCCAGCCATCCTCCTACCTGCAAGAGGCGAGGCCCCGACAGGTCCTCAAAGCACAGTCCGGGAGGCTGTGGGACATCCTTGGCCAATACAGTGACCCAGGGACTCACCCTGGTAGGGGAAGTTGCTTTGGGGCAGGGAAAACTGAAAACCCAAGGAATGACTGTGCGGGTGTTGTTGAGGAATACGTATGTGCACTAACCAATCCCCCATCACAGCCTCTGCTTCCTGTGGTTGTGGTGCTTAACCAGAGTCCAGAGTAAATTTTTTTTTTTTTACAGTACTGAGGATGGAACCCAGGGTCTCACATGGTAGGCCAGTGCGCTACCATAAGCAGTGTCTCAGTCCTTTTTATTTTTTATTTTAATATGGTCTCACTAACTTGCTTGGGCTGGCCTTGACTTTGTGATCCTCCTGCCTCAGCCTCCTGAGTAGCTGGCATTACAGCGTACACTGCCATGTCCACCCTAGCTGGGCCTGGTGGCACATGTCTGAATCCTAGCCCTTGGGAGGCTGGCTCCTCTGGGGTGGTTCAGAGAAGGAAGGAGCCTGTGTGCATTGGGAGGGGTAAACACAGCCCCTGCACAGACTGTCCCTGACTGTGTTCCCCTGGGCGCGTGGAGGGTCCCTGTGTGGTTCCCCCGTGCGTGCCACAGGGTGAGGCCGCGACCCCACATGAACATTGAGAAGGGGAGCGGAAGTGTCTGTGTGGCAGGGAGTGCTCCTGTGAAGGTGGCACGGGGCCTGTGGCTGGGGTCAGGATACTGCTGCCCTGGGGTCAGGCCATGGCTCGAGTGTCCTCACTCGGGCTGGGACCCACCACCTGGGTGCCTCGAGGTCAGGCCTCCTGGCCGTGGGTGGCTCCCAGTCCACGTGCAGCAGAGACCCCACTGGCCTTTCTCCCAGCCTTTGCTCAGCCGTCTGTACTGGACACGACAGGATGGTGGGTGAGTGGGGCGTCTGGGCTGTGGCTTTTCTGTAGGGGGTACCCCAGGAAGGGTCCCCATAGCCCCACAGCTGCAGGTGCTGCTGCAGGACTTGCTCAGTGGACAGCACTGAGGAGTGGACGGGTATGAGCGGGCCAGCTGCTGGCTGACTGGTATGCACTCTAGGCTGTGGCTCCAGGCCCCAGGGGAGGAAAGGACCAGGCCAGCGGGGGGTGAGGGAGCCCAATGCCAGCTTGTCACTGTGTCCCACCCGGCCCCCACCTTGAGCAGCTGCCCCCAGACCCCACATCCGGTGCCTACACTTTGGACAGCCCCAGGTCCTGCCCAGACCCCAGAGCCCCCACAGGGCCAAGGCACAGTCTGCAGAGAGCTGCTCTCTGGTGTTGCCTGGGAACTGCCACAGGATGCCACCTTTGTTGCTGTGTGGCCTGGGCAGTGCCCCCGGCCAGGGCTAGGGAATCCAGCAAGGGGGACAGGGGCATTTCAGGCCACTCCAGAGCCCCATGTGGGGCAGGTCCTGGCCCCAAGGCTGGTCAGCACTGTTGGCGGGACAGCTGCCCACTCTGCCCTCATCCTGAGCTGGGCCCCCAGCATGTCCTGGGTTGTCACCAAGCCACACCAGCCTCCAGAACAGTGGGTGCCCTCTGGGGCCCTGGAATTTTTCCAGCCTGAGGGAGGCGCGTGTGCTGAGCCCCAGACCCTGGAGGCTGGATGGAGGCTGGAGCATCTACTTCCTGCAGCCCTGGCCGGGGGATGGGGCACATTCCCTGCAAGGAAGCCGTCAGGTGGATCAGCAGCAGAAGGAATGGAGCCTGGGGAGGCTGGGCTGTGGGTGCTGGGGTGGCCCCAGTACATGACCCTGGGAGGACTGAAGTACCTGGAGGCCCCTGGGTAGATATGAGGGCATTCACAGAACAGCCATCAGCCCAGGCCCCAGCCCCTCTTCCTTGCTAGGCTGTGCTCTGAGGCTTGGGGGACAGCTCTGCCTTGGGGACCTGGGTCAGAGTATCAGAGGGAATGGTGTTAGTCCCAGGCCCTCCCCGCAGCTCCACCATCACCTTGCCGGTCCTGCCCCTGCCCCAGGACTTTCAGGGACCAATCTCCGTGCCATTCCCTTGGAGTTCACTGCCCTTGCACTGTCCCTGGGCCCCTGCCTCCCTGACCTGTGGCTGTCCCAAAGCAGAGGCAAGTGTGGCTGGCCCAGATGGCGTCAGAGATTTTGAGGGAACCTGCCTGGGGCTGGGGCTGGGGCTGGAGGGAAGTCGGTGCTGGTTTCTAAGACCCTGAAAAGAGGCCACCGGAACACATGGCCTGACCGCTCTGTCTCCTAGTCGAGCACTAGTGGCCTTAGTCAGCTGTAGCAGTCAGCTTTCTCATCAGGAGGAAACTGCCCAGCTCCCGGTTTAAAGGAAGACAGGTTTAATTTGGCTGACAGCTCAGTTTCAGGGGTTCAGTCCATGGTCAGGAACACTGTGGCAGGAGGGTGTGGGGAGCAAAGACACTTAGTTCATGGTGGCCGGGGAGCAGAGCAGGGCCGGAGCCAGGGCTGTCACACCTCTCTGATCCACCTGGGCATGCCTAGAAGTGTGCTTTGCCAGCCTCCGTGGTCCCAAAGCCAGCCACACTGGCCCTTCACCCTTACCATTCAGTTGGCTTTTCCTTGCCATGACAAAAACCTAAGGCCTAAGGAAAACAGCTTCTGGGAGCAAACATTTATCTCGGCTCAGCTTCCAAAGTTGGGTCCATGGGGAGCAGAGCATCATGGGAGAGGGTATGGAGGCAAAACAGCTCACCCCACTGTGCAGAGCTTGGGTGGTGGCTGGGACAAAGTGCACCTTCCAGGACAGCCAGGGAGCCCTCCCCTCCCGGACCCCGCTTCCCAGGGGTGAACCCAGCACCTCTGACCCACTCACCTCGCCGTGCCCTGTGACCCTCCGCATGAGCCTGGGGACATTTCTGGTTGCGCTGCAGTGCCCTTCTCTGTGCCTGCTGAGCCAGGTGATCTGTGTGAAGCTGCCCAGGATGGGGTTGGATCTTCTGGGTTTTGACCCCCACATAGCCTTTGTGCTGTCTGAGATGGGGTGTGCGCCCAGCCCTTCCCTGCGAGGCCCTGCGCTGTCCCAGGTCCCCCGTGCAAGGTCATGAGTGGCTCCTGTCCCAGGCTCCATCCTGCTCTGCTCTGTGCCCTCTGGTCACGAACCGATGCCGCTCTGCACCATGTCGCTGCGTCTGCTGGGACCGAGAACGCCTCCCTGCTCTCTCGTTAGCTTTTACTTCCTCCGTTAAATCGGAATGAGTTTGTTTGGGTCCACAAAACTCCTGTTGCTGTTTTTACTGGATTTCCCTCATTTAGAGTTTAATGCATAGGCTCAGGGCCCTGCAGTGCTGACTTCTCCCCAGAAGTGGTGGGAGGATACGAGGTAAGCTCCGACATCCCCCTGCTCTGTCCCTTTGAGTGCGCACTGGCCTGGGCAGGATGCTGCTGGCTAGCAGTCTGCAGTGCAGCCCACGGCCCGTGTGCTCTGGGCAAGGGTGATGAGGCCGTGGGAACGAGGCCTGTGTGAAAGGGGCCGTGGCCCTGTCTGCTTCCCGTGGCCCTGGCCCTGCTCGCACCCTGTCGTTGCCCCATGCGGTCCTGTGTGGGTCGCTCTTATCCGCTGCCTGCTCCTCCCTGGGCTCAGGCCTCGCCCTCTTGGTGGCTGTGACTCCCCCGCCTCTCTTCCGGGCAGGTGGCTCTTCCTGCATGGGCCCACTGCAGGACAGCTCCGAGTGACAGTGTTCTGTCCGGCCTCCATGGCACAGGCACTGCCAGGTCTGACTCCAGGCCGGTCGGCACCATGCTCAGGAGTAGCTGCCCTGTGTGCTGGGTTAGCACTGAGGAGAGGCAGGGCATGGGGATGGCACTGTGTACTGCCCGCTGGGCTTGGCCTCGCAGGACACCTGGGTCCTCACCAGCCGCCCTCTGGGCACAGGGCAGAGCTCCTGCCTGGCTTGGCAAGGAGCCCACCAAGCATCATCAAGTCCCCACACAGCAGCAGAGTGAGGCCCTGGCTCCCTGGGAACTCCAGCCGCTTTCCAGTCATGGACAGACGGCAGAGGCTGGTGGGGGACCCTGAGGTGACAAGCAGAGCCGGACGCCGTGAGGAGTGTCCCCCACAACCCTCTGTGTAGGAAGGCGTCCTGGTCCAGGGCCACAGCACGCAGCCTTGCTGTCTGAGACCCCAGCTGGGCGGGGAACATGGTGCCTGTAGGTGGGAACCCTGCAGTTGAATCTCTGGCACCCGATTTCTCAGTCCTGGGTGTGGACGTAGGCCTGGGCCTGAGGGCATTTCTCCTGTCACCCCAGACCCGCAGACCCAGGATGCCAGCACCAGCAGCTGAGAGCTGGGGGCAGACATTTGGGGCCAGAGACCCTGGCAGCAGGCCGCACCAGGAAGGCAGGGAGGCCTGGGTTGGCAGAACCCACCTGGCCTCTCCTGGCTCCTGCTCAGTGTCCTGGGGGTGCAGTATCCCTACACCCAGCACAGAGGGGGCCTCCCGCCCTGCTGCAGCCCCTGCAGAAGGTCGCAGACCAGCTTATCTCCTCCGCTCAGACCCACGCCTCCTGGCATCCTGTTTTTCTTGTGTCATACGAACAGGAAACAGCAATTGTTCGCCTTGTGCGTCACGGCTGTGGCGTGGCAGTGCTCTGGGGGTGCCCACCCACGCCTGCGGCAGGGCCCCTCCAGCTTCTGCCAGAGGTCCTGGGGATCCCTGAGAGCTCCCAGCACCGTGTGGCTCGTGACTGCTGTGTGCGTGAGCAGCCCTGGCCAGCCACTGTGCACGCCGTGGGGCGTCCACCACGCACTTGTCCATGGCCCTGGCTGGAGGTGTCGAGAGGGACGCAGTGCTGACTGGGCCCATGGGAAACATCAAGGAAGTGGGTGCTGGGGCCAGGCAGGGAGCAGGTCACGCCGGGGGTGATGCCCTGAGCCGAGGGTTGGTGCCCTCGGCCCTGGAGCCCAGTGACACAGGCAGGGCCAGAGGTGTGGTGAGCAGCCAGCCTCCAGAAGCCGAGGAGACGTGGCCTGGCCCCCACCTGTGCTCAGGGGGGCCCCTCCAGCTGCTGACTGGGCTCAGCCTGTAGGCACCAGGGAGCCCCTTAGAGAGCGGGGGACCCTGGCAGGACAGGACAGGTGGGGCGGTGGGTGGGCCTGGAGGGCAGGGAAAGGTAGAGCTCTGTCAGCAGATGTGAACGACATGGCTGCCTTTGCAGCTGTGCAGTGTGGACAGGACTCACCGCCTCACCCACACCCCCGCTTCCTCCTCGCCTCCTCTCCTGTGTGGGGCTGGGATCGAAGCAGCCTTGTGCGTTCCAGGCAAGTACTCCACCACTGAGCTACATCCCCAGCCCTTTTCATTTTTTTTATTTTGAGACACGGCCTCACAAAGTTGCCCGGTTTCAACTTGAAGTCGCAGTCCTCCTGCCTCAGCCTCCCAAGTAGCTGGGATTACAAGTGTGCACCACCACACCCAGCTCACCTTAACCATTTCTGAGTGCACTGTTCATGGCACAAAGCACCAGCTATCTGCAGAACTTCAGAAATCTGAGACTCTCTGCTTTAAAAAAACAAACAAACCTGTTTCACTGTGACATATAATACTGGACAATGAGCCCAGCCCCAAGGATGATGGAGACTTTATGCCACAGAATGTGCGTGACCCACCTGGATCCCTGAGGCTCAGGGTCACAATTGCCCTGACCATCAAATGCTTCTGAGCACTGACCAAAGCGGTCCCCAACACTTGGGCATGGTGAGGGGCTCCCAGGCGCATGTGACGGGGTTTGGCCTCACGTGACAGACCCCGAGCCACGGCGGGCAGGGCTTCTCTGCCATGCGTGCCCTCATGTGTCACTGGGGCTGTATCTGTGTGGCTGAGGTCCACAGTGACACCCACGCTCCTGTCCTTGGCACCCACGTCAGATCTCTGCTGTAGCAGAGAGCATGCACTCATTGTGCTTGTGGGGGTCCCAGTGCTTACCCACACCTTGGCCAGGGCTCCTGCTGATGTCTTGCTGGTTTGTGGGGTTCCGTGTGGCCTCCCCTACTCCAGGATCTCCCCACGTCCTCACACACAGGGTATGCGGCCGGGGTCCTGTGAACAAGAACAAGGCTTCCTGAGACCCTGGGAACCCCAGTCACACGGGGAGGCTCCATGCGTGGCAGGCGGGCATGGGTCTTTGCTGCACCCCACATGTGTGCCTGTCCCTCAGCCACCCATGCACACCTGTGGACTTGGCCCGGATGTGCGCACGTGGGCGCTGTTTTGATTGCAGAGGAGAGGAATCTGTAGATTAACTCCAGAAAGGACAACACGGCCTGCCTGGTCTGGCCCTTCCTGTACTTAGGTCTTTCGATTTTAACTAACTTTAAGGCAGAAGGACCACAAGTCTGAGTCCCACCTGGGCAACCTTAGCAAGAATAAAACATGAAAATGGGTTGGAGTTTTAGCTCAGCAGGAAAGCCTTGGGTTTAATCCCCAGGACTGAAATTTAAAAAAAAAAATTTCCCTGCAAATCTCCTTTATTAGAGTCGTCCCAAGGGGTTTGATGGTTTTACACAATTGTAGGGAACCATCGATGTTCAGTTTCAGCCTCACCTGGGCAGAGTCTGTGCCATGGCGAGGCCAAGTCCACCCCTGTTCGGGCTGCGCGTGGCCTCCTCCCCACCTGAAAGGGGCCGTCTGCTCGGTGACTCCTGATGTCTTTGTTTCCCATTTCATGCATGAGGACTTCAACCCTCCACTGGCCGCGTGGGCTTCCCGGACCTCGCTCCGTTCTTGTGGGCGGTGCTGGTGTTGGGTAGTCGCCTTCCACCCCATTCAGGACATTCCCTCTGCTGCCGGGGCTGGGCCAGTTCCCAAGCCGTGGACAGGGTGTGTGTTCCACATTCGGTTCTGTCTGCTGCAGGGTCTCGCGGCTTCTCCTGAGGGCTGAGCTCTGTGGGCTGCATCACGCCAGCCTGGTTCTGGCACAGACCCTGTTATCCCGGCACCTGTGGGTCAGGTGGGCTGCCCTGCCTGGGCCAGGCTTGGTGCCCTTGTCCCCCCATCAAGGTGGCTGTGGTCCCCAGACCAGGCTGGGGGATCCCTCAAGAGGCCTGGGGTGGAGGAGGGCAGTGGGAGCCCTGCTGTGAGGGCAATGCAAGGGGCAGAGCCCGGCTGTGAGGCAGAGGCAGGAGGTTGTTAAGACTGAGCCCAGCCGGGCAACTTAGTGAGGCTGCATCTCAAAATAAAGAATAAGACAAGGACTGGGAATGGAGCTCAGTGCTAAGTCCCCAAACCAGAAATGGGCCAGAGGAGAGGGAGTAGGAATGACCAAGAGGTGCTAAGTGCAGGTACCAGTTCCCATGGTGAAAGTGATTAGTGGGGGTTGCGATCCCCCAAAACCCAAAGAGAACCCAGCACTGGCGGGCGTGGGGCAGAGGCCTGGGAGCCACAGCCTCTTCTCGGTCCCTGCTGGCCTCAGACCTGTGCCTTGTCCCGCAGACAGGACGCCTCCTCCTGCTGCTGCAGGCCCTGGGTGCCGTTCTCTGCTCCGCAGCTGGAAAGGCAAGTGGTGGGCACTGCCGCAAGGACCCGGCCAAGTGGCCCTCAACACCACACTGCCCAGCCCAGGGGCCCGGGAGGCCACTGGGACAAGGCCATGCCCTCTGTGCTACCTCAGGACTCTGGCCGCTGCTGGGCAGCATCCAGGGCACGGAGCCAGGGCCAGGGCTACGGTGGGCAGCAGGAGCAGCAGCCCAGCTCCTTTGTGGTTTGTGTATTTATTTGTTCGAGTTCCGGTGCTGTGGCAGCCTTCCCCAAGCTTGTAGCTTTCTCGGGGTTGCTGTTGCCCCCACAGCACAGGGGCAACTGGCCATGGGGATGTGGTCACGCGTGGGGCCTCAGCTTCCTTACGGCCAGACCTGGGCTCTGCCCTCCACCTGCCTCAGATCTGGGACCACCTGTGCGCCTGTCTTCACCCGTATGCGCTCTTCTCGTGCCGCTGGGCCTGGGGTCCCTGGCTCCTCCGTTCTGGGGCCCCCTCCCCAGTGCCCTCAGTGCCCTGCTGCGGTCAGTTCTGTCCCTGCCTCTCCCTCACTCCCAGGAGCACAAGGGAACTGCGGGCCCCGGCCTTCCCCTCTGCTTCCTGGCCTTGGTGACGATGTCTCCTGTGACTCCTGCCTGGCTTCTCAGACAAACAATGCTGGGTTTGGTGCCCCATCGCGAGAGGCCTTGACCCTGAACTAGGGCAAGAAGGTATGCGGCTCTCGGCCGAGAGCAGGAGAGGAGGTGGCAGGGCAGGGTCTGGGCACTGAGGCCATTGCAACAGAGACCTGAACTGACGTCCTTTGGGTCTGGACTCCAGCACAAGAGGCCCCGGCTGGGCTCAAACTCATGATCCTCCTGCCTCAGCCTCCTAGAGTGATGGGGTTAGAAGTGTGTGCCACTGTTTTTCACTTAAAGTTCCCTTTGGTTCTTTTCCAAATCAGCCCCGTGTTTTTCTTGTTACCTCTTGGGCTGACGCTCCTGCTTCCTTCGCGGTGCTGGGTGTCTGCTTTCTGCTCGTGCTCTCAGCCTGTGTCCACTGTCCACGTGCTCTGTCATTCTGGGCCCTGTGCCTGGGCTCTCGGTGGCCTGCTCTGCTCCATGAGTGCTTTTCCTCAGGACAGACCACACTGGTGCCCAGGGCTGGGCATGCCCAGGTGAAGCTCCACGTCTGTGGCCCTGGGAGGTGGCCAAAGGGACAGACAGCTTCCGTATTTCCCTCCGTGGCTGGCAGGCTTTTCTGAGCACCTTTTCCCAGGACGCCCTTGGGCGGGGCCGGCAGTTCCTCGTGTGGGCCCCGCCCTGCCTGAGGTGGGGCCTCCTGTCACCTGGCTGTCTCTGGAAGCCCTTGGGGCCTCCCCCCACCATGGCACCTGGGGCACTGAGTGGCCTCATGGGGGATGCCAGGATCCCAGACCAGGGGCCCTATCTCAGGCTGGGTTCCAGGCCTGCCTGGAGCAGTGAGAAGGGTCAGGATGACTGGGAAGCCTGGTGCCTGGGCAGTGGCCCTGGGCCGGCCCACACCGGGGGTCCCCATGGCTACCTCTCGCTGCGGCCCTGGCACGGGGGGCAGGTGCATGGCCCTGGCTTGGCTACAGCCCTGGGGTACCCTCACTGGGCGGTGTCCCCCACACTCCCGGTCTTTCCCTCACTGTGCCCCTCTCTGCATGCCCAGTACTTGGGCTTTGCCTATAGCGAGGGGAGCGTCCAGTTCCTAGGACCCGGGAGGTGGTGATTCCAGGCTGTGCTCTCGCTGGGGATCGGCAGAGCCTGGGCCCCCTCAAAGGTCACGGCCCCCCAACAGCCTGATCCTCCGCGTGGGCCTGTGGGTGGGGGGCTATGTCCAGTGCAGTCTGTATGCCTATGGGCCACTTGGGGGCTGCAGGCCACCAGGTCTTCAGGTAAGACACACAGGGTGGACAGGACCTGATCCTGTCCTTGATTGGAAGGGCTCCCTGTGTCCCACTGGGGTGGCCCCGTCCTGGGGTGCTGGCTGCCAAGACCAGAGTGAGACTGCACTCTGGCATCTGGCGGCCTCTCTAGTTCTCCTCCTGAGCGAGCAGAGTGGCTGTGGCTCAGCTCTGAGGCCTCTCCTCTCTCCCCGGAGAATGGCCAACACCACCACCTCAGCCAGGCTCAGCCTCAGTGTGCTGGACAGGGGCCCAGACATCTCAGATGAGCCCGTGGCCGGTGCTGCCCATCCCTAGGGTAACGGCCTGGGGCCACCCCAGGGCCTGTGCAGCAGGTCCCAGGGACACAGGGAATCTGGCCTCTTGCTCTCCTGGGGTCATGGACCGGGCAGCGTCTGCTGAGCAACAAGCTGTGAACCTGTCACACCACCAGGGACCTCGTAGTTCCACCCACATGATGACCCACCGGGAGCAACAGGTGTCACAGGCCCAGTGGGCACTGCGGGCTCTGCGGTTGTGTGGGGTTTATGTTCAGAGGCATAGAAGTGGAGACAGCGCGGACTTTCTCTCCTCTCACCTCCTCGTTTCCCAAATCTGTGATTCAGAGACAGAAAGCGTCTCCTCGTTTTCCCAAATCTTCTCTGTGGTCCGGGCTCCAGCCCTTCCCTTTTGCTCCCTGGGGCTCACTGGGTGGAACAGTCTGGCCGCCATGTGCCCAGGTGCCCGTGCCCTCCATGGATGGGGACGGTGAACCTGTCCCTGTGGCCACTGTGGCCCTTTGTCTGGCGAGGACAAGCCCCTGCCTTTATGGGATAATTAGTGCGGACAATGACCGCTGCCCCCGTGGCCTCAGGGCCCAGCGGAGCAGAAGGGAATCTCAGTGGCATGAAAAGTCACAAGAGGGAGGCGCGGGTGGTGGCTGAATAGCAACAGTTACCTTCTGAATAGATTAAATTTTAAACCCTCCATGGGTGGGGGGAGTCAGAGTGACAATGAGGTTTTGTGTCTCTGCAGCTCTGGGAGGAAGCCTGGTGGGGGTTTGCTGTTCTGGAAGACCCACGGGCTGGACTGCTGAACCTGCTGGAGGCCTCGGGCGGCCAGCAGGGCCAGGGGCCCTCCCTGGAGGCCTGGATCCCTGGGGAGCTTCAGTACTGGCTAAAGGCACAGCCACGCCCAGGCAGCCCAGGTGCCAGGGAGCCACGTCCAAGCCCAGCCCACGCCCTTGACCTCAGTCAGGTCTCCGGCCTCTCCCAGCCCTCCAGGCTTCCCCAAAGCCCCTCCAGCCCTGACTTCCTGGCCAGCCGCCCTGGCTCCAGCCCGTGCCCCAGCTGGGACGGTGCTCCCACTGCAATGACCTGGCTCTCTGGTCCTCCAGGGCAGCCCCAGGATGGATGCAGCTCAGGTCCACACACTCAGGGTATTCCCGGAGGCCCCTGGTCTGGCGCAGCCACTGGTCAGCATCTTCCAGCTGCGGGATGCAGATGTGAATGCCCATGTGGCTCACATCTACCATCTCCTCCAGCAGGGCAGCTTCAAGGAAGTGAGCAGCCGCGCCGCCCGGCTGCAGAGAGAGTGCTCCCTGGGCTCCCACATGCGATGTCAGGGACAGGAGCCACCGCAGGCCACGGAGGACCTGGGTCTGGTGGGGCCTGGGAACCGGCTCAGCCAGGCGCTGGGCCTGAGCTGCAGGACCCTCACCTCCTGACACAGGTGATGCCAAGGCAGGTTCTGCGCCCCTGCCATCCCCTCCCCTGGTGCCCTGGTGTCCAGGGTCCCTTCCTCCTTAAAGATGCCTCCAGGGACCCAGCTTTGCTCTCTCCCTCAGCTCCTCGCGTCACCTGCAGCTCAGTGTGGGGTGGCACTACCTCCCACCCAGACCCTCCTGCCTTGCCCTTGCTGGGCCACTCATTGCCCAGTCTGGGTGTTGCCTGCCTGTGTGCTGGGCACAGCCCTGCCCTGAGTGTGGCAGAGGCTCTCCCACCAGGAGGGCCACAGGCAGGGCCGAGGGGCGCTGCAGTGATTCCCAGCCTGTGTGTAACCCCGGCCCCGCTGGCCTGGCCAGAGGCCCTCTGTGGAGACCTGGGGTTTGGCAGCCAAAGGCCTCCACGGGAGCCGGTGTGGCTGTTGGAGCCGCGGTGGACTCCGAGTCCACCATGAACATGAGTGCGGCTGGCTCCTGTGCAAGCCCAGAAGGTCCCGAGAGGAGGGCTGGGCTCTGAAGTCCTGGAGGAGGCGTCCCGGGCCTGGCCCAGAGCACCCTGACAGGTCTGCACGAGGCAGTGGGGGCGGGGGGCCTGGCAGGTGGCAGCTACAGCACGTGGAGGCACAGGCTGTCCTGAGCTAAGACCGGCCTCCATCCCACCGCCAGCAGGGCCCCGACGCCAGCCCTGTGGGGACAGTGTGCAGGCGCCACTGCCCGGCTCTTGGAGTTCAGGTGCGGGGACCTGGCCTCCCTGGCCTGGCCTGGCCTAGGGAAGCAGGGTTGCCCCCGTCACTGTCTGTCTCGTCCCCAGCCTCCGTCTGCAGGCGGAGGCATAGAGGCCGACATGGCTGCGCCCAGGAACAATGTGGGCCGAGGCCTCCCTCGCGTGGCCGGGCGGGGCGGGGAGCGAGGGCCGCTGCGTGGACGCAGACGGCAGCTAGTGTTTCAGGCATCTTCTGTTACGCTCAGCCTTTCAAAGAGTGTCTGGACTGCTGAATGTGCCTCCCTCCGCTCCGAGCCGGCGTCCCCACACAAAGGGGGCTCTTGTCCCTCACCGGCCCCTTCTGCGAAGAAAAGCCATTGTCCCCAGCGGGGCCGCCCGGCAGGCGGTGCACGCTCCACTGCCCACCGCCGCGCCCGGCGAAAGGGGCCGCATTCAGGCTGTCCGCTCGGATTAGCAGGCGCTCACGACTCAATGTGCTGCGGTATTTCATGTCCAGCGCAGCGGCTGGCCCGGGCGGGATGAATGCCCGCTTTTGTCCACTGAGTTATTTTATTTACATTTTTTAAACAGCTTATCAAGGTAAAAAGATAGCTTTGCGTTAAGGGGGGGAGGCCCCCTTGGCTCCGGGCCCGCATGGAGGTGGAAGGCTGTGTGGGTGCTGGGGTCCTCAGCTGCCCCGGCACCTGCCCAGCCTCCTGTCCCTTGCAGTGGGGACCCCAGGCTCCAGGCATCACTCTCAGAGTTTCCCGACTGTTTTCCCAAAGACACAGCTATGGGGCCGGTCTTGCTGCAGGCTCCTGCAGCACTGCCCTTCCTCCCTAGGAGCTGCTTCCTGTCCTCTAGGGTGGCAAGGAGGCCCCACCTGTCTCCCCCGTTGTCAGATCCAGTTCTGGCTCTGTCCCACCTTCTCTGGCCGCTGACTGGGCCCATGGGTGATACACCTATGCCAGCACCCTGCGTGCCCACCAAGGGCTCAGTGTTGCCCCCGCAGCAGCGACCACAGGCCTTGTGGAGCCCGAGCTATGGCGAAGCTGGCTCTGTGCCACTCCTGCCCTCTGGTTACCAAGGTGGCTCCTGGCTGTGGCTGGGTGGACCTGAGCAGGCTCGTCCCTTGTCCAGGCCCTACCCAGCCCTGGGCCACAGAATTCCCCAGGGCTGCAGGACAGAGTGGACACAGGGGCTGGCCCAGGCCTGCTAGCCACGCCCTGCAGACACCACCAGGGCCACCTGGCCGCCAGAGGGCACCCTGGGTGCACAGAAAGCTCCTGCCCAGACAGTGGATGCCTAAGGTTCTGTGCCCAGGATTTTGGGGACCGGAGTCTGTGACCATGTTCCTGGACAGTGAGTGCACGCCTGGGGGACCCAGCTTGCACCCCACACTGCTACCAAGTGAGTGAGGTCTTCCAGTGGGAGGGACACCAAGGCCTGGGCCCTTGGGGTCATCGCTGGATGCTGATGAAGCGAAGGTGCTGGATGACTTCTCCTGCTCTCCCCGCCGGGTTGCTGGGTGGCACTGCCCCTCCCCCAGTGCAGTGGGGGCTAGGCTGGTGAGGCTGACAGCTGCTGCCTACATGGGGTGTGAGGGCTGCGATGGGGGTGCCTCCTTGGATCCTAAGCTCCTGGGAGGTTTCTGATCCACAGGGGCCCAGAGCCCTCTCATGAGGGTGGGATAGGCCTCACCTGGGCACCCTGCACAGCCCTACACCCCGAGCCATGGCCCCGTGCCCCCTCCCACGCCCCGTACCTCTTGGAGCCTGGCGGAGGCCGAGGCTGCTGGCCCCAGGCCAGACTGCAGAGCCACAGGGTCAGCACTGTGCAGGCAGAGGCCCCCAGCCCTGTGCCCCCAGCCCGGCTCCCCCGTGCGCGTCCCAGGGCTGGACTCCGAGCAGAGCCTTTCCCAGGCCGCTATTTTAGTCTCTGAGCAGCCGGGTGGGGCGCCGAGCTGCTCCCGGGCTGCTTCGTTATTTTTGCTCATAATGGGAATGCGATGTATGGAAATTATTAATAGCAGCGTGAGCCTGTGGTACGTGCGGGTGGTCAGGGCCCGGCACACTCTGCCCAGAAGTGGGAAGGCCCGGCAGCCAGGACGCACTCAGGGCTGGAGCACAGCCTGCGGCGCTCTTGCCCCATTGAGGCTGCGGCAGACTGCATGAGGCTGCACAGGAGGTCGGGGTCAGAGCCTGGGGCCCCTCTGCCCACGCACCCACCCAGCCACTGTTCTACCTCTCAGATGCGCTCAGAGCGGCCTCAGGCTTAGACACCTCCCTGTGAAGGCCGCTTGGACTGCTCTGCAGCCCAGGGCCCCTCTCCTGCCCCGCAACAGCCTTGTCCCTCCCCATGGTCAGTCGAGAGACAGGAAAAAGACCAGGCTGGCTGTGCCCGGCAGCCATGGCAGGGGGAGGGTGGGCGCCCGTGGTTCTGGGCCCCTCTCTGCCTTAATCTGCCTCTTTGTGTGGCCAGGCAGCCATACTGGGCACAGAGCTGAAGCCACAGCCAGAACTGCACATTGAAAAGGTAAACATCTTTTTCATGTGAATTGTTTAGGTTGGACTTGGATAAAGCCCAGGTCTCCAGAAGCAGTTTGGTGGGGTGGAGAGGGCAGGGGCTGCCAGCGGTCAGAGTGGGTGCAGAGCCTCTCAGGCTGCCTGGACCAGCGTGGACCTCCCTTGGCCTCGCCAGGCTCCAAGCCCAGGGTGCCCTTGGCTGCTCAAACCCAGCCCCACTCTGGCAGGCTGTGTCCAGGGTAGCGGCAGACTCCAGGCCTCGCCCTGCATGCTGTCCCCTGCACCCTGCCCTGGCAGGTGGCGCCCCATCCAGTGTGGGCTCTGAATTGCCCGATGTGTGGGTAGATGGGGGAGGGACATCTGCAGGGTCAGGGCAGGGACTCTGCCAAAGCTGTTCTCACTGGGCAAAGGCGCAAGTCCCAGTGCCACAGCCAGGGCTCCCTTGGGGCTTCCTGGCATCTGGACAAGCTCGCAGTCCCTGTCCTGCACCCTGGAAGGGTCCTCAAGGGCCGCTGGACCGCTCAGCCCCACATCTGCATGCTTGGTGAGCACTATGGGTGACAGCTGAGCCTCTCGGGGCTTCAGCCCTTTGTCAGGGCACAAGGACAGCTTCAGGGGCACCAGGGTCAGGTCTGGGAGCAGGTGAGCTTGGCTGTGGTGGGTGTCCCACACTCCTGCCCACTTCCCAGGATGCCCTGGGCCACCAGCAGGCCCCACAGGGTCCAACTCCTAGGGGGAGTGTGGTCTTGGCTGGAGTCTGAGTGGGCTCCCCTGTCCCCTACTGCTGCTCCAGGACCAACTGAGCCTTGTGAAACGCTATATGACTGACTTGCCAGACCTGCAGAGGCAGCTGCTGACCCTCATGGACTACTGGTGCCAGGCTGGCTTTGACATCAGGGACATTGTCAGGTGAGCCCCCAGCAGAGGGTGCTGGATGGACTCCTGAGTGCAGGTTTAGGGCTAGAGCGGGCATGTAGTGGTGTGTGAAGGCACCGGGGCTGCCCTTGGCCAGCAGCAGGGCTGGACACCACATCTGTCCACACCACCTGGGTCTCACCTGTGAAGTAGGAGGTGGAAGATCAGTCCTCCCAGGACCCCTCCTCTCTGCGTCTTGCTTATGACTTTACTTCCTTGTCCTTGGAACGGGGCTACCTCTCCCTTCACAGGAGCCGCTGTGACTTGGCATGGTAGGAAGCAGGTGGAGTGGTGAGGGGCAGCTAGTTGTCATCACTCTCATGACCTTGAACACACAAATGAAGGACAGAGATCCAACAGTGGTGAGCGGTCACACCAGTCTCAGTGTGAACAGGGAGCGCCCTTGGGTCAGGGTTAATGGCGGAAACTGCACAGAGTTAATGACGTCACTGCCTTAGCTCTGTGCTCTGAAAGGACATAGACGCAGTGACATCCACAGTGATGAGCAGTGAGATCTTGGTTTCTCCTTTTTGTTTATTGTTTGTTTTTTGAGACAGGATCTGGCTACATAGTTTGGGCTGGTCTTGCACTCACTGTGGAGTCTGGGCTGGCCTTGAACTCACCGTGATCCTCCTGCTGATTCTCAAGATCTTGGTTTCTAAAGACCATTCTGTACTGAAAAAAAAACGCGGACTCTGTGGAGAATACGCCGAGCACAAAGAAAGGCCAGGGAGCTTGGGACCTGGGACTCTTAAAACGAATCATACAATGCCCAAGGGAAGTGGAAAGTTCCTCACAGTCTGTCCCAGCTAATAAATGGAAAAGAGAGCAGTAAAATAAAAAAATTATCATTTTGCAGCTACCCAGGAAGTAACTGATTCAAGCAGAGATCATCTGGGTTTGCTGAGGAAGACAAAAAACTCAAATCACCAACATCAGACTGGGAAGGAGGCCCTGGCACAGAGCTACAGATGCTGACATGGAGGGGCGCAGCACATGTGTTTAACCATCAGATGTCATAGACCCGGTTCTTAGGAGACACCATTTGCCAAAAGGGATTGCTAAAAACAGAGTGAAATAGAGTATTCCTATGTCTGTAAAATAAATTGAATCCATAGGTTGAAACTTTGCCCCACAAAGAAATTATTCACCCCAGTGCTTCACTGGTGGATTCTTCCAAACACTTAAGGAAGACTCAACCAGCCTCACAAACTCTCCTGGAGAAGATAGGAAGAAGGGGCATGTCAAAACTCGCTTAGAGCCAGCTATCGAAACATGAGCATTAGGAGAAGGAAAAATTAAAGTCCAGTATACATCATGAACATGGACACAAAAGCGCTAACCAAATATTAGCAATTAACCAGCCAGCATATGAAAGAGTTCATCAAAAGAATGAGAAGACAGACTCAGACTGCTAGAAAATATTTGCAGAAGACATATCTGAGAAAGGACTATTACTCAGAATAGACAAAGATCTCTTAAAACGAAAATAAGAAAATGGAACAACCCAATTTAAAAGGGGGAAACAATTGGGAATCACTTCATCAAAGAAAATAAGGATTAGAGAAATGCAAATCAGAACGACTATGAGAGGCTGCTACACACCTGTCGGGACGGCCCAAACCCACAGCACCACAACACCAGGTCCTGGAACTCTCACTCCCTGCAACAGAACGGAAAATGGTCCCACCGCTTGTGCCTCAAAAACGGCATGTACACTCACCGTGGGATCCAGCAGTCACGCTCCTGGGCATTCATTTACCCAGTGGAGCTGGAACCTATGTCCACACAGACACTTGCACTCAGATGTCTGTGACACCCTTATTCACACGACTTAATCAAGACCTGGGACCAACCGTGATGTCCTTCAGAAGGTGAAGGGATAAACAAACTGTGGTCCATCAAGACAATGGAATATTATTCACACTAAAATAGAAGTGAGGTTTAACTAGGTATGGAGTGCATATCTGTAGTCCCAGCACCTGGGATGCTGAGCCAAGATGACAGCTAGCAAGACCTCATCTCAAAAATGAAAATGAGGAGGAGGAAATAAGTTACTAAGACTTGAAACAAATACATACAGCTAGGTGAAAAAGCTGGTCCAGAAAGGCTACACATTCTGTGATTCCAACTGTCTGACCTCCTGGAAAAGGCAGAATTGTGGAGACAGTAAAAGGATCAGAGGGGTTGGGGATATCAATCATGATGTTGTGAGTTTGATTCCTAGAACCAAAAAAATAAATATAAAAGACTAGAGGTTTCCATGGGCTGGGGGTGGGAGGGATGGTGTATTAGACAGCTTTCCTGCTGCTGGGACGAAGTACTCAGCACCTACAAGTTAAAGGAGGAGGGATTGAGTTTGGCTTATGGTTTCAGAGGATTTAGTCCATGGTATGCTGCTCCAAGCAGGAGTATCATGGCAGAAACGCATGGAGGAGGAGACCTACTTGTCTCATGGCAGCTAGGAAGCAGAGCATGGAACAGCACCAGACAGGAAGGGCCAGGGCCAAATGTGGCACCCAAGGTAACACCCTATGCCCCACACCCCACCCAGATACACCCAGAGGTGGGCAGCTCCCAAGCCAGTCAAGTGGGCAGTGAGGCTTAACTACACCAGGGGACAGGTCCAGTCCCACAGTATATCAACCCCGAGAGCCGGCCCTTGTGTGGACTACAGACTGTGACAGCAATGGGTCCATGTGGCCTGCTGGCTGTAACAGGTGCTCACTGTTGGGGCTCCAGGGTGGCTGTGCACCCTGGGGGCAGAGGTGAATGGAAATGCCATACATTCTGCTCAGTTTTCCTGTGAGCCTGCAACTGTTCTTAAACACATCAAGTCTGTCTTTTAAGAAAGTTAATACACTGTGATCAAGTGCAGTCTATCTCAGAAATTCCACATTGATTTAATATTCAAAAATCATTATAACTTCCCGCTTTAACAGGATAAACAATAAAAGCTACATAGTCATCCCAGCATATAAAACAACTGCATAAAACTCAAACCTCATACAACTCAGGCATAGTGGCCCATGCCTATAATGCCAGCACATGGGAGGCTGATGCAGGAGGATCACCAGGAGTTTGAGGCCAGCCTGGGCTCCTCAGTGAGTTCAAGGCCAGCCTGAACTGCATACAGAGGCCCTGTTTCAAAAGGAAAGAAAAGAAAAAAAAAAAAAACAAAAAACCCAGCCTCAAACCTTATTATGATATTCACCCCAGATAGCTCACTTGAGATGTTAGTAAGAATGCCTCCTCAGTATTCTATAGCCATGATGAGGAGGAGGCCAAGGAGAGAAAACAAAGAGACCGAGAAAAAGCAGCTGCTTTTGCTGCACCACTAAGAGAAACAGATCCCAGGTCTGATTCCCGGGGCTCCAAGAAGAACTTGACAACTGCGTTCACCTGCTACCACTGTTAAAAGCCAGGCCACCTCAAGAGGAACTGCCTTAAGAGGCCCCATGGGCCATGCCCTGGATGCAAAGGAGACCACTGGAGATCGGTCTGCCCTCTGAGGTGGAGGCCCCAGAGATCAGACCCATGCTACCAGTTAGTCCAACAGGAATGAGAGGGCTTGGGGCATGGTCTGCCTTCTCCCTCTGGCCAGACCGTCATCTCCGTCGAGGAGCCCTGGGTAATCATGACTACGGAGGAACAAGAAAACAGCCTGTTGCTAGACACAGGTGCAAGTCTCTCGGTCCTTCTTTTCAATCCTGGCCTTCCTTCCAGCCATCATACCTCAGTGAAAGGAGTCACTGGTGAGGAGGTAATATGCTATTTTTGACAACCCTTAGGCTGTAACTACTTAATAGGTCCCTCTTGCATATCTCTGTCTTCCTGAGAAACCACTCTGAAGATACCACCATGTATTACAGCAGCCATTGATATTTTCCTACTAATCTATCCATAACTGTGTAAAGTTTGTAATGTTCCTATCCTATTTCATAAATGGATGTATGTTTATTATTATCTGTTTCCTACAACAACCATTGAGAATAGTTAATGATTTTTCAATAGGTCACTCATGTATAGCTCTATTTATTTTCTTTAGAAGCCACTTTGAAGATACCAAAGTATAGTACAACAACTCTTGATAATCTCCTACCTCTTTTGTCTGTAACTCACTATTATTTGTCTATTTGTTTTCCTGAGAAACTATTTCGTAGACAATAATATGTAAAATGATAACCATTGATAATTTCCTACCATTTTGTCTGTAATTTGCTAAGTTATTATTAGCAAATAATAATAACTTCCCCCCTATTATTATGTTATCCTTCTTTTATTCTTTAAAATAAAAAAAAAAATTAAAAAAAAAAAACCTTATTATGATAAAGTCTCAGAGAACTACAAAGAAAGGGGAACTTCCTTAATCTAATCAAAAGTGTTACTTTAAAAAACAACAAAAATAAGAGGAAATATCCTTTTTTAGCTTTACTGAGATATAATAAATACATCCCAAACCGGGCATTTGGAGTATAGCGTCTTGACTACTTTCAGCATGCGTGTTCATCAGGGCCGTCGCCACATCCCCTTCGGCCCTGAGGCCTCTGGCCAAGCTCACCTGTCCCTGTACGTTCCTGTCCCCTGATCTGTGTCGCTAGACTTCTTCCCTCCCCTAGAACACAATGTGAATGGAATGACGTGAGGTGAGCTTTTCCTCCCAGTAGCTATTTTGAGATCGCTGGTTCCTGCTTTCTGTAGCAGGCAGCGTCGTCACAGTGGAGGTGACAGGGTTCGTGCCCCATCACCTGCTGGTGGGCATCGGGTGTTGTCCACTTCAGGGTGTCACTAAGGAAGCTGCTGGGCACCTGGCTGTAGGCCCCTGGGTATGAGGACTACCCAGGAGGCAGAGCCGGAGTGCTGTACTTAAAGAAATCGTCAGACCTTGTGAATTTCACTTGCGCCACCTCCTCTGAGGCTTGATGCATCATCTCAGCCACTCCCACAGGGGTGCAGTGATATTGAACTCTGGCTTTGATTTGCATTTTCCTAACAACTAAGATACTGAGCATATTTTCCTGTTCCTTGTGAAGTAGCTATTCAGTTTTTGCACATTTTAGATGAATTTGTTTTCATATTATGGAGTTTTGAGATTTTTAAAAATATATTTTGGCCAGACATGGTGGTGCATACCCAAAATCCAGCACTCAGGTGACTGCAGCAGAAGCATCCTGAGTTTGAGGCCAGCCTGGGCACCACAACAAGACTTTGTCTCAAAACAAAACATACATGTGCACACGTGCACACACATATTCTTAGTCTTATGTATTATTTGCAAATGGCTTATATTTTCATTCTCTTAACAGTGTCTTTCAATAAGTAAAAGTTCTTAATTTATCAAACTCTGATTTATCAATTTTTTTAAATGTGTGGATCACCTTTTAGTATTGTAGCTGAGAAATCTTTGTCTAACTCATGAGCACAAACATCTCCTGTCCTTATTTCTGGAAGTTTTATGATTTTAGGATTTTCATTTAGGTCAATGGTCAGTTTCTAGATGGTGTCTACATATGGTTCGAGGCAGGCATCGGTGTTCTTTATTGGTAACATGTGGATGCCTCTTTGGAACTATTTGTTTATTTCCCACTGAACTGCCTCCCTACCTTGTGAACATCGGTCGTCTGTACGGGTGTGGGTCCAGCTTGGCCAGCCTGTCTGCTCTGTCCATCTGTCTGCCTCAGTACCCATGCCATACCTTCTGGGCCTTGTAGCCTCACAGGAAGTCTTCAACTCAGGTGCTGTTGACCCTCCAGCTCTGTTCTGCCTGTCTTTCTTTCTTTCAAGTTGTTTTGGTTATTTTAGACCCTTTACATTTTGATATTAATATTCAAATCAGGTTGTTAATTTCTACCTCAAAAAAAGCCTATTGGAATACTTATTAGTATTGCATTGCAATTAAAGATGACTTTGGGGAGAATTTAGTGTTCTGACCCATGAAATGGAGCCTCTCTCTCCACTTATTGAGGTCTTCAGTTGCCCTCAGCAATTTTTTGTTTGTTTGTTTGTTTTTTGTGTTTTTCGGGTACCAGGAATCGAACTCACGACCTTGTGCTTGCTAGGCAGGCGCTGTGCCACTGAGCTAAATCCCCAGCCCTGCCCTCAGCAATTTTTAATAAGGCTTGTATATCTTTTGTCAAGCTTATCTATAAGTGTTTCATATCTGATGTTGTAAGTGATGTTTTTAGATTTCAATTTCTAGTTATTTGGTGCTAGTGTATAGAAATGCAATTGATTCTTGTTTGTCAACCCTTGTATTCTGTAACTTTGCTAAACTTGCCAGTTTTTATAGCTATTTAGAATAGGATTTTCAATGAGGATCATTGTGTTGCCTGCAAATAAAGGCAGTTTTATTTCTCCCTGTCCTTCTAGAACATTCATTACAACGTGGCATGGAAGTGGACATCACTGTCTTGACCCCGATCTTGGGACCAAGCTTCAGTCTTTCATTGTTGAGTGCTGTGTTACCTACAGACTGCGGATATGCCCTTCATCAAATTACAGAAGTTCCCTTCTTGGATACTTTCTTGAGAATTTTGATCAGGAGTGGATATTAGATTTTGTAAAGTGTTTTTTTTTTTGAGACAGGGTCTCACCTTGAACTTGCTCTGTAGCCAAGGGTGGCCTTGAACTTGTGATGATCCTCTTGCCTCAGCCTCCCTGGTGCTGGGATTACAGGTGTGCACCATCACACCCTACTGTTCTGCAGCTATCAAGAGCTTATGGTTTTTCCCTTTTAGATTATTATTGTGGTGAATTATACTACCTAATGTTTCTAACATTAAACTGGGCATCACTCCTGGGATAAACTTGGTCACGATTTAGTATCTTTTGGGTGCCTTCTTTTAATTCAGTTTGCCTCCATTTTTGTTAAGAATTTCCTCATCTGTCCAGGTATAGTGGTGTACTCCTGCAACCCCAGCTTCTTGAAAGGCTGAGGTAGGAGGATCACATGTTTGAAGCCAGCCTGGGCAAGGTAGCCATACCATGTACCAAACTTTAAAAATAAAAATAGCGGGACATGGTGGCACACACCTGTAATCCCAGCACTCGGGAGGCTGAAGCAGGAGGATCTTTGCGAGTTCGAGACCAGCCTGGGCTACACAGTGAGCTCAAGGCCAGCCTGAACTGCACAGTGAGACCCTGTCTCATAAAGAAAAAACAAAACAAAACAAAACCCTCGCTTTGGGAGCATTCACATCTTGTGTGAGGCTTGGTAACGTTTCCCTCCTATCTCCAGCGGTCCCTCCGTTGGCATCGGGCAGCTCCTCGTGCCCCCGTGCTGGCTGATGCCCAGTGGATTTTCAGGCCCTCACTGGATGGGCGTTCGGGGCTCAGTCCTGCACACCACACACCTGTGCGTTGGGCCTCCATGCCGTTTCCTGTCTCGTCTCCCATGGTGCTGCCCACCATCTGAAAACCAGGTTTCTTCAGTTCTGTTCCTCGGGTGTTTGCAGGGGAGGGTGAATCTGGGCCTGCTACTCCAGAGCGTCATATTTTTGTTAAAACGGTCTACACACGTTAATGCTACACAGTGATGGTGCTCACTGTAACTCTCCCTTCAGTCCGTCCACTGCCCCCTGGAAGCCGCGTATTCAGGGGTGAAATTGAAATGCTTTCCCTCTGATTTTGAGGACAAGAACAGGGCAGCTGTTGCCACCACTTCCACAGCGCACCAGGATCCCAGTCAGGCAAGGCAGGTCGGAGAAGTCCGAAGCACGAGAACAGCTGTCATTTTTTTCCAGACATGAGTTTGTATGTAGGAAAAACCTACAGAAAACTGTTAGAGTTAGCAAGTAAACTCAGCAAGGTCGTGGGCTGTGAGGTAAACTTGTACGAAGCAGCTGTATTGCTTGATCCTTACCTCAGAGATTCCTCAAGGACGTGAAAATCACTAGGAATAGTGGAAGAGCTTGGCCAGTTTGACTTAAATCAGTAACTGCTGTGCCGTACCGTACGTCTGTGAGAGCGAAGAGGCAGCTTCCAGACCCAGGGCGGCTGCTTGCCGAGCACCTCTTAGGAGTCTGTACGCAGCGCACGAAGCACTCACACAAAACCCCAAAGCAAATGCGCAGCACAAGACAAACCGGGTTTCCTGGGAGCAGGACTTGAGCCGCATCCCCCAAGCAAATTAACAGCTGCTCAGCACCAATTCATCAGGGAGACGCAAACTAAACCACGAAGGAAGGTCCCCGTCCCCAGCGTGGCCACCCATCCCCGTCCAGCCAGCGCGCCAGGCCGACACAAAGGAGTTGGCTTGGACCTGGAGCGACAGAAACCCACACTGCCCGTGGGGAGTGAGCATGCGGGGAAACTGCTCACAGCTGGTATCTGACTCCGAGCTACGACAACCCTGTACTCCCGGCATTTGAGAAGAGCAGTGGGACTGTGGTCCACAGAACAGCAGCACTGGCACAGCTCCCTCCTCTGTCACCTGCGCCTGGAACAGCCACACGCCACGGCCAAGGAGGGACGGGGGTCCTCGGGCCCAGCCACGCAGGGGAGGCACCGTCACCCGTGGCTGCGGGGCCGCCAGGAAAGGAGCCAGACCGAGGCACACGGCTGTGTGGCCCCACCGCACAGAGTCACAGTGGCGCATCGGCAGTGGCCACAGAAGCCCAGGGAGCAGGCACCTCGGGGCGCAGGAGGCTTTTGAGAGCTACAGCATTCCACACTGAGGTTCAGGCAGCAGGTTCACACACGGGCTTGGCAGTGTTTCCCTCCTGTCTCCGGTGGTCTCTTCCTTGGCATTGGACAGCTCCTCGTGCCCCCATGCTGGCAGACGCCCAGAGGATTTCCGGCCCTCACTGGACGGGCGTTCCGGGCTGAGGACCCCTGCCCCGTCCCTCCTTGGCCGTGGCGTGTGGCTGTTCCAGGCGCAGGTGACTGAGGAGGGAGCTGTGCCAATGCTGCTGTTCTGTGGACCACAGTCCCACGTCTCTTGAGCAGGTTCACAGGAGCATGGACACCTTTGACTTCATAGGATAGGTCAGCCAGGCCCCAGTGAACAATTTATAGTTTAAAGTGGCGGATGAGCACAAGCGTTCATTGCCTCTCTACTTTAAAATGAGGGAAAGTTTTTAAGAGAGGTGCTGGAGACTACAAAGCAGACGGCCAGGCGGCGACTGCTGACCTGGGGGCCGGTGCACCGGCCTCGGGGCCAGGAGGGCTGGGACCTGGAGGCCTGCGGTCCTCAGAGCAGTGGGGCTGAAAGTGGGGTCTCAGGGGCTCTTCTGAGGAGGTGTCCCAGCACTGCAGAGGACAGGAAAGAGCCTGTGGGCATCTGTTTTCTGCTGCTGTAATAAAATACCAGAAGCTGGGTACTGAAAAGGGTTTTGTGGAGCTCACAGTTTTGGGAGCTGAAAGTGCACAATCCAGCACCAACCAGGCTCTGAGGACAGAGCTCCACGGTCACCTGCCGTAGGCTCCGCCTCGTAGGGCCTCTGCCCCTCAACAGACCCCAGGAGGACAGGGACGGCTCAGCACTACGCCTCCAGGGTCCAAACCACCTCAGACCACAGCAGGCTCCACTGAGCCCGGGCTCTGCCCGCCCCCTGCAGCTGCATCTGCCCCGGGCTCCAGGCTGCAGCGCCCACCGAGCTCAGCCTCTCCAAGACAGCAGCCTGCAGGTGTGGCCACTACATGCCCAGCACACAGACCCCCCAAACCGGGGCTCAGGAGCAGGAGGAGAGGGACCACCAGAGCTGTGAGGTCTCGGTGAGGGGCCGCGATGTGGGCACAGGTGCCACCCCTGAGCTCAGGCCCTAGAACGGAGCTGGCGGGCAGAAAGTGTGGCCGAAAATGAAGAGCTCAGTGAGGGTTTGGGCAACCAGTCTGCAGGTATCTTCCAAAAAGTGGTGCAAAGGAAATAAGCAAAGAAAAGGAAAATTAGGAAAGGTTTCAAATGCGACGTCGTGAGTTCGATTCCCGGTCCTGGAAAAAAAAAAAAAAAAAGGAAAGGTTTCAAAGATTAGATTCTGTGAAGGAGGTGCAACATCCCGAGGACGGCTCCAGTGGGGCAAGCGCAGGAGAGGGTGGAGGTGTGGGGGTGGGGAATGCAGGCCAGGGGCGGTGGGGGGCGGGGGAGGGAGGCGGAGGCCCATGAGGAGATGCAGGGCCATGAAGCTGCAGCACAGGGGTGAGAACCTGGGAGCCTCCAGAGGAGCTGGGGCCCCCGGGCGCCAGAGTGGCCTTGGCATCTCCACTGCAGTTCCTGGGGTTGGCGCAGAATCACGGCTCTGAGCTCAGTCTTCATTTCCACGGCGCTTTTACTGGATTTGCTCTGGGACAGCCAAGAAAGGGGGGTGGGCATGTGGGAGGCGGGCTGGATCCGCGCCACGCCAGGAGGAGGTGTGCGGGGGGGGGGGGGGGGAGGGACCACAATGGATGGGTTACCAGCGCGCGTCCCCCGGCACAGCTGGAGGGGCATCTCAGTGGTGGCCACGCCTAAGCAGAACTGTTTTAAGTGCAGGGTGTGTGGGTCTAACCAGAAGCCCCGACACGATTGTTCTCGGGGGGTGACGAGACATCTCCACAAGATACCTACAGTAAATGGCCAAGCAATCGGGGTGCAAAGCGAGGCTTATCTGGACCCAGGGCCCGGCCGGCCTTCTCAGTGCTGACCTGCAGCCCTGTGGGGGTGCTGTTCCCCTCTAAGGCCTGGGAGTCACTTAGAACCCCACAAGTATGTGACATGGCTGTAGGTAAAGACCTCAAAGCATATTAACTTCAAAGAGGCTGTGACAAACTGGGCTCTCTCCCGCAGGCAGTGCCCCAGGGCGACTCCCAGGGCGACTCCCCAGGCTGGAGAGACTGAGCCCCAAAATGCTAGCTGGCGGGTCCTGTGTGAGCAGAAGTATGGCGTAGCCCGGGAGCACCAGGGGAGGAGGGGCTTGGCCGCTGCACCCACCACCCCAGAGCCCTGGCTGCCAGAGTGCCCCCCCTGCCGGGGAGGAGCTGGGAGGCCCATGTTCCCCAGCCCAGGGCTTCGGCTGTGCCTTTACTGCTCCTCCTCGCCCTCCTCTCCCCTCCTTCTTCCCACCCCTCTTCCCTCTCCCTCCTCTTCTCCTTCATCAGGGCCCTGGGCAGGTGGGCTCTGTGAGGACCCCAATCCTGACAGGACACAGAGTGGTAGCTGAACAGGGTGCCATCCTCTGGCACCTGCGGGTCCCGGAAGGGAGCATGGGCATCGTATGTGTCCCCGGGTGTCCCTGAGCTCAGGCCGTGGCAGTGAGCGCTCGCCCTGCCTTGAGGGGTCTGCGCTCCTCTGCAGAGGCAGAAAGCAAGCGCTGTGCACTCAAAGCCGGGAAGGCCTGGCCCTGCAGCACAGGCTTGAGACCGGGTGGTGTGCTGCCCTGTCGCCCGTGCAGGGGCCCAGGCGGCACGGCCATCACGCCGGAAGACCCAGGGGAATCGGCTGGCTGGGGCGAGGGCAGCGGAGGCCTGGGCCTGGCCCTGTGGTTAGCGGTGGGGCGGTGGGGGGACACAGAGCCGCCACAGCTCCTCTGTCCTGCGCTGCGTGTCCCCATGCCCCCAGCTGAGACCTGCCTTCTCTCAGCCTTACGTTCCAGTGCTGCCGCCATGCGCTGCCTGTGCCACAAGCCTTCTGTGGGGTACATGTGCCCTGGGCACCCCTGGGGGCCCCTGCTGGGCACCAGCCCGGGCCTCAGCGGCTCTAGGCAATCAGACCCCTCTGCACATGCTGAGCTCTGCCAGCCTTGCGGGCAGCTGAGCCCCCAGGGTCCACATGCTGCCAGGAGAGGGGCCGCATGGGCCTGGCAGAGGGCTCTGGGCTGCTAGTGACTGCACAGCCTGTTTCCTTGGCAGAAAAGTGTATCTCAGCGAAACTGGGCCGACCACTCACAGGTGAGCAGTCGCTGCACCTGTTACCTGGGCCGTCGGGAAGCCAACTGGGTCCAGAGGGGCTGGGTGGCCCGTAGGTCCCTCTGTGCCCACGTGGTGCCTGGCCTCTGTGGGCACCCGAGGTGGGCGTGTGCCAGGGGGGGCGGTGTGATGGGAGCAGAGTCCTCTTGTGGGTGGGACCCCGAGGCCTGTGGCTCAGGGACAGCGCTGCACACAGGCAGCGTGTGGCACACACAGGCACACGAGGCTGTGCTGCACCCTGACCACGGAGATGTCCTCAGGCACTGTGTCGCATGCACAGGACGTGGCTGGGCAGCAGAGGGTGGCACTGGGTCGGGGTGGCATTGAGAGGTGGGGAGGCAGTGTGAGTCACCAGAGAGGCACGCACACTCTGGGGTGCGGTCCAGAAGGCCGGTCCCCCAGGGTGCCAAGGCTGAGCCAGCCGGAAGGGCAGCGGACATCCTGAAGAATGTGGAGGAGTTTCCTCATATTGTCGTCCACGTGAGAACACGCAGCCCGGGGGGAAGCGGACACCTCGGGCTGCTGGGGGTGCTGAAGCCATCCGGACAGACGGCCCCAGGGGGTCAGCCAGGCTCCTCAGGAACACTGAGGCAACAGGGGCCAGAGGTCGCGTGGACAAGGAGCCACAAGTCCTAGGGGCCACGTAGGCTGGCCTATGACCTCATGGCCCTGAGAGGGCTGGAGTGAGGCTCCAGGGAGCCCCGCTGTACCCAGCCCAGCTTGGCCCACACTTTCTGGGACCCCTGCCTCTATGCTGGGCGCTGGCTGTGAGGGTTTCTCAGGCCTCCCTGGTCAGGGGTCCCGGCTGGGTGCCCTGCCCGCTCCCCTGCTCCCCAGGTGCAGATGATGGGAGAGAAGAGCGGGCGCAGGGCAGAGGGAACAGGAGCTGGGCCGGGGTCCCAGAAGTGGGTCTGACCTTGGCGCCAAGGCCTGTGATGGAGAGCGGGCTGCAGGGCTGAGCTGCTCAGCAAGCGGCCTGATCCTCAGCCTCAGCCACCGGCCAGGCTGGGCGGCCCTGCTCCGAGGGCTCTGCGACCTACAGGGCCTGGTGGGGGAGAACTTGCAGCTCTTGCAGATGGCGGCTGCTCACAGTGACCCTGCCACGCCTCCTCAGTGCACCCTGGACCTCTTGCTACCCCAGGAGCGGCTACCGGCTGCGGTGACCATAGAACTCAGCCGGCTCAGGCTCCAGAGCAGGCGCTGCCCCACGGACCCACGACAGCAGCTCCATGGACTGAGGCGGGCATAGGGCCACCCCTGTGAGTAGGCTCAGCGGGTGACAGGAGGAGCTGAGGGGCACAGCCGGGCTACACCAGCTCTGCCCCCCCCCCCCCCCGCCGGGTGGCCCAGGCTGACTTAGGGCCAGAGGAGACACAGGAGGATTTGGAGGAGGAGGAGGGCCACTACCAGCTACCCCTCAGCAGGGACAGCGGCCACCTGGCCGTACCTGACCAGGCATGAGGCCACATTCCTGGAAGTGGGCACGCTGCTCACCAGACCCAGTGAATAGGCTCCTGGCGTTGGTCCACACCTGGCACTGCTGGCCTCACCCTCCACCTGTCCCCCAGGTGTCCCAGAACCACCACAAAGATGATCTGGTCCCCAGTGTGGGCATCGCCAGGCCCCAGCCAGCCTGCAGAGGGACATGTGGGCCTCCTCCTCCACTGCAGCTGCATGGAACCCAGGCCAGAGTGGGTCGGGTGCTCATGGCCAAGGTTCCATCATGCTTGCCCTTCTGGACGCGGGGTGGAGAGCCTTGCTCACCACAACAGGCCAGCCCTGGGCATCATTCCGGTGGTGGAAGAGGGCCACACATTCCTGCTGGACCTGCTCTGCTCAGGCCTTCTCCCGGTTGCTGCCCCAGCTGCTCTCAGACCCCCGTTACCAGGCTGGGTGAGTGAGGCCTGCAGAGAAAAGGAGCTGGGCCAGCAGCCCAGGGCTGGGATCCCCACCATCGGTGTCCCCACCCCTCACGCCCCAGGCCAGCTGTAGGTTACAGGATGGCGCGAGACTGGAGCCTGGGCCCCGCCTGCCCTGCACTGCCCACGTGGAGAAGTAGGTTCAGGGCAGCCTGGACCTGCTGCCATGCACAAGCCACTCAGGGAGGCAGGAACAGGGCCGCCCCATGAAGGTCCCTAAAGATCCCTGAGTGGGCATCTCACCTGAGTGGGGGTCTTCCTCCAGCCAACTCAGGGCTCCTCACCTCCAGAACTTGCCCTGGGCCTCCTCAATAGCCAGATTTCTGCCAGCTGAGCCCCAGGGTGCTGGCAAGGGCTGAACCCCAGAGCCCCCTAAGTGGGTCCCCTGAGCCCACTGTTGCCAGAGCAATCCAGTAGGGTGGAACCCTCAGGGTTCAGGTTCACACCAAGGGCCCCCATCATGCTGTGTGCCCCTTCCCTGCACTGGCAGCGTGGGGGCAGCAAACACGCCGTCTTGGCAAATGTGGCAGATGCAGGTGGCAGCCCCAGCAGTGGTCAGGGCCAGGGCCCGCAGGGTCTGAGCCTCTGTGTGCAACAGGCACTGAGCAGCCCCCAAGGCCAAGCAGCTCTCTGACTGGGACCAGGGGCTGCTCTTTGAGGGACAGCTCCTCTATCCAGGCGCTGGGGTGTGAGCAGCCCCCCACAGCCCATGCCCCTGTTCCCCTGCTCCGTGCTAAGGCAGACCCTGCCCACAGCTGCCCATGCCTCTGCCTGCTGGAGGTGCCCTGAACCTTGTGCGGGGATCTTGCCCATTTCCCACCACCTGGGAGCCTGGCTGGATACCGCAGGCCCAGGTACCCTGAGATACCCAGGCCTTGGACCCACCTGGCACACAGGAGTCTCAGCTATACCCAGGCAGGTGAGTGAAGCCTCCCACTCCCTTGGTCAGGATGCTGTGGGGGGTCTTCTCCCAGCAGGGCACCAGTGGGCGGCAGCAGCTGGCCTCGCAGACCACCGTGGGGGCGTGGAGGCACCTGATATGGCCTGGTGTGCGCCCCACGGTGCACTGCAGGCATCTGGCCACGCCCCCTGACAGCACCCCACCCAGTGCTCACATGGGGAGCTCACAGTGCTGAGGGTCTCTGTCAAACAACCAGGCCAGTGCAGGTACCCTTGGCCACCGGGGAGGGGACTGGCCCACGTCCCTGTGCGGGGCTCTGCATGGTGTGTGGCAGCATCTGTAGGGGCTGGCGTGGCGCCTGCATGGCCTGGGCATGGAGGTGGCCACACTGGGCAATGAGGACCACTGCAGGACGGCCGAAGTGAGTGGGGAGAGAAGGCCAGGCTGCCAGGGACCAGGCTCAGACAGCGAGAGCAGGAGAGAACCGTCAGGGGTTTCTTTTCACCTGAAATCCCAAGGGCAGAGATGGGGTCCTGGCGACGGTGGCAGTGGCGGGGTCAGCAGAGGCCAAAGCCAGCACTGCAGCCCCAACCCTGGGCTGGCACTGCCCAGCCTTGGAGCCTTCAGACAGCAGGGACATAATCAGCTCTGTCTCAAGCTGCAGCACTGGCTCTTACCGGAGGTTTCGGGGAGACGCCAACCTCTAGCTCCGGAGGCACTCTCATTCCCTGCCCTCTGCCCCAAGCTGCACACCTCTTTTACAAGTGTCCTGCTTCATCAGCTTCGTGTCAGGTTAATGACCCTTAATTATTGCAGGCTGATCAGGCCAGCAATCTCCCAAAGGAGTGGAGAGCGAAGCCTTACATAAATGAGACCGTTGAAATGATTTTAGGGGTCTGGGAGGACTCAACCTTCTCACAGAATTCAAGATTCTTTGGGGTAAAACCCAGACTTCCCTGGGCAGCCGTATTTATTAGGTTTTCAAAGAAAGGAGGGGATACTGAAGAAAATGCAGGAATCTGGGCAGGACTTGGGAATCCCTCCAAGGACTTCTCCAAGTAATACACTATGTTAATTTAGGAGAACTATGTTATCTCCAGGAAGGCCTTCACCGAAGGAGTGAGATGCCTGCCGCTGCAGTCTCCTTTTAAGTCAACTGGGGTTGGAGCCAAAAGTCCTGAGCTGTAGTCTTGTCTTGTCCTTTGAGGCCTCGTGGCTTCACCCACCATTGCAGGCCTCTGTAGGAACCAGTGACTCACAAGTAAACATGGAAAGCCAATTGGTCAGTTTAAGTCCTGCTCAGAGGTGCTTCATAGCGGTCTCTATCACTTATGCTACAAAGTCATACCCAAGGCAGGCTGCTTGTGAAAATAACAGATTTATTTAGGTCATAGTTTGGGAGGGTTAAAGTTCAAGTTCATGTAGCCGCCTCTGCTCTGCCTCTGGTCTTTTCGCAGCAGGAGTGAGGGTTAGAGTTTAGAGAGCAGAGGGGAGCCGGTGGGCCAAGCTCT